ATATTTAAAGTTATGATTTCACAATTTTAATGATTTTTCTATTATAAAATAAAGAAAAATAAAGGTTGTTTACATTGTATTTATGTAGATCAGACGTGAAAAAAGTGTTTCTTTATATTTCCAGAGACGAAGCTCTTTGGGTTTTTTTTTACTTTCCACGCAAAGCGAGGTTCAACGCAAACCTATGTGTCTAGTTTTTTTATAATGGAGCCCACTGCGTCCACGCATATACTTTCCCATCCACACAACAATTGTGGGGCAGACTTCGCTTTGCTTTGTAAAGTATATGCGTGCACACAGTGGGTTCCGTCCCCCCTACGGGGGGGGGGCTCCACTTCCGGAAGATATAACCTAACCTAACCCAAATCAAATTTTAGTTTTAAATCAGAAATAGGGGGGGGGCGGAACTCACTGCGTCCACGCATATACTTTCTCATCCATGCAACAATTGTGGGGCGGACTGTCTCTCTGTCTCTATATTATTATCCAAATGTTAACTTTAAATATCTCAGAAACTATAAGAGACCGCCGGTTAAGTTATAAGGAAAAGTTACTCAGGGTCATGTCCTTGACAACATATGTCAAGGTCAAAGTCATCGGTGAGGTGTAACCTAATATGCATATTTACCGAAGATAGATTTTGTAGACAGATTTGGTAATGATGCACACAGATATGGATTAAAATAAGTAATAAAGTAATGAATTGTTGCTAAAGTATTAATGAATTGTTTGGTATGAAATATATTAAAAAATATGTATATGTTAGTTAATATCAATGTGCAAGCAATATTAATTAAACAGTTTTATAAGTACAAACTCATTGATAATCATGCAATATATATAATATTTTAATAGTATATAGCGGGCTAATAGGAGCCGTGCGTAAGGTAGAGGACGCAAAATAAATCTAATGATTAAAAATTAATAATTTAATAAATAAACCTTTCGGTTCATCTCCGGGCCATCTTCAGTACAGATATAAAAAAAGTCAAATGTCGTCAGTAACTGAAAATTGATGCATAATAATCGGTGTGATATATATTTCAAAAGAAAGGTGGATAAAAACGGTACACGTAATCAAAGATAAAAACATACGTTACAAATAAAAGAAAAAATCAAGAGTCGTCAAATTTGGAGCTTAATGTTAGCGTCAATCATGTGCTCCAAAGGCAAATCTCCGAGTCAGGGTTCCTATCGGTTCCGGTCGTTAGAAAGGATGCAGCACATAAGATGCATTCCATCTGACAACATTGTCATCGCTGTTATGTGATATATGAACTTTAAATGAAAAGGAAGCACTCACCATGAGAATGCGAGACCACAGAAGGAGACAAAATAACAAACCGCACATGTTAATTACTAAAACACGACTAATCGTAAATAAAGTAAGACGACAGCAAACACGAGAAAAATTAGCGGAACGGATAATTAACGCGACGGCAGAATACGCCGCTAGACAGTATTCCCAAGGGGTAGAGGGGGTGGGTCGGGGAACGGGAGAAAATAGAGAATCGAGAACACGGGAGCCAAAATAAAGCATTCAACGTTTTGAAATAAAGATAACAATAATATATTAAAAGAAACAAGAGTATAAAGCAGTTCGCATAAGTAATAATCTTGGAGGACAGTAGTTATTTTACAGTCGAATAAAATATATTATTTCCACGGAGATCGACACGACCGTGCGCAATCGTATTAAATTACCGGACGTCTTACGTGCTGTAACTCGACTTTTCGGTCGCGGAAATTTCCGCCGTACGAGACTTATTTAGGCCGCGACAACTAAAGAAATCCCTCGAATGCGCCGGTAACTACTTTACGCACGCCCGTTAATCCGCTTCGATATACTAAATAATTCTAGATGACACGGTTCGAATCAGTCCTTTAGCTGGCTCGCGGGGAGCCGGTATACGCCTCGATAATAATGACGACGACCTTTGCGTTGAAATACGTAATATATATTTCGAGTGACTCGCGGAAACTAATAGCGGGCTCAAAGACTCCCGACAGATTTTCTGCACGATATTTCAGAATTTCGCTTTCCTCTTACTCTCATTTCCTACAATACACACAAAATACACGCTAACAATGCACAGAAAGAATACGAAAACTATTGAGAATGACTGTGGTGTACGAGTCGCGTGACGCAATACTTTACGCGATTCGGAATATCGATCGCGTGAGCGTAAAAATCCCTATAATTTTCAACATGCAATAGTCACAAACACGAAACTAATGGCGAATTCGATTGGATGCACTAGTGCGCACTGAGTGCGCACTCTTTCAGTATTTAGTATTCGGTTGGCTTGCCCTGGGGCTATATTCTTGAAAAATATCGCATACGATATTTATCATTGCGCAGTTATTTTCCGATACGTTTTAGTTGCGCAATGACAAATATCGTATGCGATATTTTTCAAGAATATGGCCCCTGTACTGGTTCAGAATTCTATGTGTATTCGGTTGATAGTGCACTAAAAACATGTGCTAGTGAAAACGTATTCGACTGAACTGCATTATCCCAGTGCAGTGTTATTTGTACATTCGGTTGAAATACATTGCACTAGTGCAGAAGGTACTATCTTTGATTATTGTAGGTTTTTCTCTGCTCTCTTGTTGATTACAAGTCGCATATTGCACATGTGAGCACCATTAAAGAAATTACTAAATGCACTATATTGGGATCAGTGCCTGTAATTGCTCCCAGGTCAGTGCAAATAACCGCACTCGGGTCAGTATTAAATTACGCGCTCCAAACATGTGCGTCTGGTAACAAAAAGTTACTAGCCACTGAAACGGAGCGAGTGCACATCAATCGAATTTGCCATAACATTAATGACTGTTGGCGGCCGCGAAATAAATGGAGAGAGCCTATTTTCTATAATCCGGATGAGTAGCAAGTGCCCGTCGGCCGTTGCGACGCAATTTACTCAAAATTCACAAAAGTTAATTCATCAAAACGCGTGGCTCGACAACTATTAAGGGTGCGACTCATTCAAATTAATTACCTACAATAAATCGGCAACAATATCTGGTCGACGACGCTCGTCCCACCGACAGGAATACTTCAGGTTTTCCTTCGAAAGATCCGATCTTGCTCGCACGCTCTTAGGGACCTGCGTCCTTCCTGATAGCTCGCCGAACAGTGCCGAGCGAGAGTCCTGTAGGCAGTGATGCCAGAAACGGGTCCCGCGGCTCACGGCTCAGCAATGGAAGGGGTAACGCACACAAGCGCGAACCGCGTACATGTGCCACATCTCTAGATGTGCAACCGCTCTCGGCCGCTCCTCTTCTTTCTTCCTTCCTTTCCGCCGGATGGGATCTCGCCGCTCAACCATGTGCCGACAACTAATTCGCGGGCTCACAACGAGCTTACATTTTCGCTTCTTAAAACCAACGAAGGCTAGATCTTGTCGAACTGGCAATCGGGCCGCTCTCTCCCTAAATCGGGAAGACACAAACCCCCGAAAATTCGCTCCCGATCGGGCCATTCGGCCCTTGTGACGGACGTTCCAAAAACGTCACGTCACAGTTTTTATCTTTGATTATGTGTACCGTTTTTATCCACTTTTCTTTTGAAATATATATCACACCGATTATTATGCATCAATTTTCAGTTACTGATGACATTTGACTTTTTTTATATCTGTACTTATTAAATTATTAATTTTTAATGATTAGACTTATTTTGCGTCCTCTACCTTACGCACTGCTCCTATTAGCCCGCAATATACTATTATTGTTATTTAACATTTTAAGCCTTTATGATTTTATTATATAATATTTTTTCAATTATAAGTTCATCATATTATTTTGTTGAAGTTAATAATCATTTTTAAATATTTGAGAAGATACGTTACCCAAATCTGAACTTAACATCTCATACGTTTCATTACTTATTGTCTTGGAATTTTTTAATTGATGTATCAAGTTATGAATTTTTATTTGCTTTCGATTTGTTTTTTTATTTAATAATTTTATTTTCTTTTTTTCTGAAGTAAGCTTCTTTTTCCAAATATTTTTCTTCTTTTCTATTGAAGTTTTAAACATATCTGCTTGATTATTTAATTGTTTTTCATAATTTCGTGTTAAAGAGAACTGGTTAATGCTTTAAGTTTTTTATTTTCATCTTCCAATTTACGACATTTTATGTTCGTTCTTTGTAAAATATCAGTAGATTTACGTTTTTGAGACTTTGTTAAGCCTAAAACAAAAGAAATAATTTATATTACAAAAATTGAAAATATATATAGTAATAAAATTCATATAGAATCATGAAATTTAATTAGGTATGTATATATTAATTATGTATAAAAAATCAACTATTACTTGATATTGTATCACTCGGCTGTATTGTATGGTGCATCGTACTAATGCTAGCAGTAATATCTGTTTCGTTTAAAGTCAATTTCTCGATATTGATATTACATTCATTTGAATCTATATAAATTAGAATACATAATTATTAAATAATTCTCTGATTTTTATATAACGTATATGTTATATTTTACTATTTTTTTACTTTGCTGCAATGTTTCATTTTTTTTATTATCATTTCTAAATGCTTCTAAGGAAATTTCTTCTTCACTGTTTGCATTTAAATCTATTGAATTTGTATAATCAATTACATGTGTAACGCGGTCACCTCGCTCGACGCTCGGATCGGCTCGTCGGTGTCCGGGTTCGAGAGGAGGGACATACATACATACATACATACATACATACATACATACATACATACATACATACATACATACATACATACATACATACATACATACATACATACATACATACATACATACATACATACATACATACATACATACATACATACATACATACATACATACATACATACATACATACATACATACATACATACATACATACATACATACATACATACATACATACATACATACATACATACATACATACATACATACATACATACATACATACATACATACATACATACATACATACATACATACATACATACATACATACATACATACATACATACATACATACATACATACATACATACATACATACATACATACATACATACATACATACATACATACATACATACATACATACATACATACATACATACATACATACATACATACATACATACATACATACATACATACATACATACATACATACATACATACATACATACATACATACATACATACATACATACATACATACATACATACATACATACATACATACATACATACATACATACATACATACATACATACATACATACATACATACATACATACATACATACATACATACATACATACATACATACATACATACATACATACATACATACATACATACATACATACATACATACATATGTAATTCTTAATATACTTACACATATCTTTATCAGAACTTTGATTATACAGGGTGTCCCGCAACGTGATGTCCACACTGAAATTGTGTATTCTTTTTGTCATTCTAACAATAACTCAAAAAGTCTTAATACACATATGCTCTAAAGTTAATATTTACTGGCTATGAAACTTATGCGCTTCTGTTTAATGCTCAGATTGTCCGTTATGGGATAATGAATGATTAATGAGCTCGTATTCTTTCCATTGAATAATTGACCTTTATTTTATTATTGTCCAAAAGGTAAGAAGTAATTATCATGGCCTTTTTCCTTTTTAAGAGATAGATACTTAGAATGTAACGTAATACTAGACAGAGAAAGATCAGTAGCGCGCTCTATATATTTTTTTTAGAGAAACTTTCTTATGAAACAAAAAAACGTCGCTGCTAGGAACAAACATAAAGATTAAGATTAAATTACCCTAGCCAAAACCGCCTCTTAATTTAATGAGATCTTTACTTAACTATATCAGTCTATATGTACTTAACTCAAATTACAATAAGTTTAAATTTACTCTGTGTTTAACAAACAATTTTTGACTTAAACCCTTAGCCATTATATCAGCAGTCTGATCGTTTGATTTAATATACTTTAATCTGAATTCGCCGTTTGTAATTGATTCACGGATGAAGTTGTACTTCACATCAACATGTTTCATTCGTTTGTGTTCCCTTGGTTCTTCCGATACCTTAATGCATGACTGATTATCTTCGTATATAGTTGTTGCTTCATTGCAGTTGATATTCAATTCGTGTAATAAACCACGAAGCCATTTACCTTCACAAATGCCATTGGCCAAAGCAATATATTCAGCTTCGGTTGATGATAAACTGACGGTAGGCTGTTTCCTTGATGACCACGTGGTGACGGTGGAAGATCGTATTATTAATTGGGAGCAGAAAGAGGGGGCTGCTTAGGCGTAGTGGTTTAGGATGGACTACTCGAGGAGGCTTCCATTCATACTGGTGGTGAGTCAAGACTCATCGCTGAGCGGCTACGGGCGCCAATTTTCAATCGTTATGATTTGGACCGCTCTGGAGACGTGCTGGGGATTTCGTCTCTCCGTGACAATCGGCACTGCATCCATTGAGCGAGATTCCAACATCGCTCTGGAGTCGTATGTACTGTGTTAGAGTGGCGTAAGGTGCGAGGTCTGAATAGCTCAGTGGTAAGAGCAGTTGCCCGGAAAGCGAAAGACTCGGGTTCGATTCCCGATTCAGCCACTTGTACCTCGCATATTTTTTCAGACCCGCAAATGTTGTTTTCTAACAATTATTTGTCGGGCTGAGGAAGTGTGTAAACGCCAGCCACAGACACGACAGTGCCGCTGCCACGGAAGAGATGGATGCTTGGTTCGCGCCTCCTCCCGCCTTAAATCCCCCCCTCGCTTCACAGTATTACCAAAAACCTTTTAAACGTATCCTGATGTTGATTTTCGGTCGTTTTTATCTGTTGCCCAGTCAGAGTCGGTGTAACCAATCAACGTTTCGGAGTTTTCATGTTTTTTATAAATTAGCTCCAAATCCTTCGTTGCCTTGATGTATCGAAGCATCCGTTTAGCATGTTTAAAGTGTTCATAATTGTAGCAATTTTGAAATCGACTGAGGTAATTCGTAGCAGCACACAGATCTGGTCGTGTGGTTAAAGTCGCATATGTTAAACATCCAATTAACTCTCGATACGGTGCATTGCAATTTTCATTCAAATCACTCTTTTTCAAATTAAGACCACTTTCAATTGGTGTCGCTATTTCCTTGCAATCTGTCATATTAAACTTTTGTAGAGTTCTTTGTAGATAATTTAATTGACCCATACTGATCGAATGATTGCTTTTATCATAAACAATGTGTACACCAAGAAAGTTGTCAACTTGTCCGATATCAGTCATTTCAAATTCATTTGACAATAATCGTTTAGTCGTATTGATGATTTTAATGTCATTTGATATTATCAACAAATCATCCACGTACAGCAATATATAACATACAGTTCCATTGCCAATTCTTGTATATAGACAATGATCAGACGAGCACCTTTTAAAACCAATTTTTATCATGAATTGATGGAATCGCTCATTCCACATACGAGATGCTTGTTTCAGTCCGTATATCGATTTTTGCAATTTACATACCCTGTTAGTGCCATCTTCAAAACCTTCGGGTTGTTGCATATATATTTCCTCATTTAGTTGACCGTTTAAGAATGCACACTTAACATCCATCTGATGTATATGATAATCAGAATGAACTGCAATTGCCATTAATACACGAAAAGTTGTAAATTTAGCAGTTGGCGAATATGTTTCATTATAGTCAAAGCCCTTTTCTTGAGTGAACCCTCGTTCAACGAGTCTGGCTTTATATTTATCAACTTCACCATTCGTTTTGTGTTTTATTTTCAACACCCATTTACATGAGATTACTTTTCTATTACTAGGCAAATTGCATAATAACCACGTACTATATTTTATAAGTGATGCATATTCATCCTTAATTGCATTTTTCCATTGTTGCCAATCTGGTCGTTGTTTTGCTTCTTTAATTGAAACTGGATCATTTTAGCTGCATAAAGTTAGCCGGACCACTTTAACTTTTTAATAATTAAAATTATCTAATCGTTTGGTGGTCGTTTGGTGATGTTTGTTAATAACTTTTTAATAAGCAACGAGCGACGATTAAATTAGAAGAAAAAGTTATCGTCAGAATTATGTCCTTGACAACATATATCAAGGTTATTGGGGCTGGGTCCCCTTTTCGCTATATTTACCCTCATTGGATATCGTGCGACGCGTCATCGCGCTGGCTGCAAAAGCCATTACAGACGAAGGCATGCGCAGGCGCAGAGTCAATGCACATGGTTTTTTTTACTTTTTGGATAAATTATGGACTACCAAACGTTGTAAATAAAGGATTTGTGACTACCTAACGATTCTGCATCAAATAAGCCTTGATTTAATCGATTAGACTAAAAATTAAAAATGTCCGGCTAACTTTACACCAATATTTTAATTATTTAATTAAAAAAAAAACGATTGACCACAAAACGTTTTAATTAGGCTACCAATCATCACCAAACGACCACCAAACGATTAGATAATTTTAATTATCAAAAAGTTAAAGTGGTCCGGCTAACTTTACGGAGCCGATCATTTTGTACATATCCTTGCGCCGATAGTGCGAAGCATGTGTTATATTCCCAGTCACCATAGCGTTCTGATGGTTAAACCTTCCTTCTGCTGCGACGCAATTCAGTGTTGTTTTCCTCGATGCCATGGGTATTATTTCTGTCGACACTATAATCCAACGATGTGTCTACCGCATCAGTGAAATCTTCATTCGTTGTTTCCAAATCATCCACCAATGTATCATCGTCATCTTCTTTAATATCCTCTTGTGCCGTCTCTGAATTTGTGATCTTTATTTCCTTTGCTTGTTCCAATACAGATCTCTCATTAAAGGTAACATGTCTTCCAATTACCAATTTATTGTTTTCAATGTCCCATAGTCGATATGTGTGCATCAATGTGCCATAACCAAGCATAATACACTTTGATGATTTGGCGTCTAATTTCTTTCTGTTGTCCACAGGAATATGATTATAACATACTGATCCAAAAATTTTAAGATTGGATAAATCCGGTTTTTTGCCATACCATATTTCAGCCGGTGTTTTGCTGACGAACTGTTTGCCAAATGCATTTGTTGGACTTCTATTCCTTAAATAATTCGCCACAATTACAGCCTCATTCCAGAAGCACCAATCAATTTCGCTGGCTAAAAGCATTGTTCGTGCTTTCTCTTGTAAAGTTCGATTTAAACGCTCTCCCACAGAATTCATCTCAGGATTATACGGTACGGTGTATAAGAGTTGAATGCCTTTCTGTTTACAGAAGTTTTTGAATTCATGCGACGTGTACTCGCCACCATTGTCAGCTCTTAACTTTGCCATCTTACATCCGTGTTGTGTTTCTGCCATTGCCACAAATTCCTTGAATTTTTCTAAAACTTGACTCTTCCTTTCGATGCAATAGACCATAGAGGCGCGTGAAAAATCATCCATAAATGTTACGAAATATCTAGATTTATCCCAAGCCGGTTGACTTATTGGTCCACATACGTCAGTATGAATAAGTTCCAAGACTCGATGAGAACGTGCTCGTTTATTTTGTGGAAAAGATGATTTTGTTTGTTTACCGTAAATACATTTTTTGCAAAATTTTGTATCTGTGTTAATCATCATTTGTTCCATTCCATTTACCATTTGACGATTGATCATTTTCTTCATATCAAAAACGTTCAGGTGTCCTAGACGGAAATGCCATAGACTTTGATTAGCGTTGTTCAAAACTTGCTCACCTGAAATTCCAGCGAAGATGTCATGTTCAACTTGAAAAGTTACTTCATACAGCTTTCCATTTGCATATGCAACAAATTGCGTTTTTCCATTCAACTCGATGTATGCACATTCTCCATCAAAAATTATCTTGAAACCTCGTTTCACTAAATTTTGGATAGACATTAAATTGCATTTCAAACTAGGAACAAATAGAACATCTTGCATTGTTCTTGTTTTCCAATAGCCATCATAAAAGGTCTTCACCGTTATATTACCATGTTGTTTGGCAATCAATTTTTGATTCTTCTTTGCTACTGAGATTGCAATTTCATCCATATTCGTCAATTTATCAAAACATTGTTTGTTGTTCACCATATGCTCAGTGGCACCTGAATCTAAAATGAATTTAATCTGCATGGCGTTATCGTTGTTGTTGCTCTGTTTCGCTTGTCCATTCCTGTCATGACATGCCTTTATAATCGCCTTACATGTATTTGCTTGTTTGCACTCCTTTGCAAATGCGCACAGAATTTGACTTAGATGTTTCTCATTTGAAACATTATTTGCACTTTCAACATTTTTATTTGAATTTGCATTTGCTTTTTGCGATTTATAAGGCTTTTTGGACTTACAACGAGATTTTATGTGCCCTTACTTCCCACATTTGAAGCAAACGATATTTGGGTTTTTTTGTATTCATCGCATGCGGTTCATTTGATTTGCCACTTGAACTGTTAATATTTCGTTTTCCATGTTTATCCAATAAACGACTTTTAACAAAATCCAATGTTAAATCCCTTGGATTCATTGTCTCTAACGCAGTAATTAAATTATCATAACTTTTTGGTAATGTAAGCAGCAAATGGCAAATCACATCCATTTCTTCCATTGTTGTGCCAATCGATTTCAAATCACGAATCTTCTTGTCAAAATTAAGAAAATGGTCATTAATATTCTCACCTTCATGCATCTTCATCGTCAATAATTGTTTCCGTAACAACAGCTGTCCAGCAATACTCTTTTGCTCGAATACTGCAGCCGAATTGTCAAACATATCCTTTGCCGTTGTTTTATCTTTTATGTATTCGAGTTGACTGTCGTGGATGCTTTGTACGATGATTGAAATGCATTGTTTCTCTTCTTTCTTAATCTTTTCATGCTGCGAATCATTCGCAGATTGTAAAATATCAACTAATTTATGTTCAACATACCTTTTCAATCCTTTTTCATCCAAAAGAATTCCTAGTCTATATTTCCAGTTACTAAAGTTTTTCCCATCGAATTGAATAATATTCGATGTGTTGTTGTCCGAAATTGAAATCATTCTCAGAATCTCTTTTACTTCTTAGACAAAATCCGCAAAAATAGAGTCCACAGTCGTGCGTCCTGGGCTCATAACCTAATATTTACTGGCTATGAAACTTATGCGCTTCTGTTTAATGCTCAGATTGTCCCTTATGGGATAATAAATGATTAAATTAAACAATAATTAAACAATAATTAAACAATAATTTACTTTATAAACTACTTTATAAATTGTTCAAAGTGACCAGCATTTTGGTCTACACACACTTCTGCTCTTTGAATTATTGATGTCGTAGAACGCAAAAGAAGTTCCACATCGTTACATATATTATTACAAGCGTCTGTTATTTTATTTACTGACTGCTGCCGATTGACTGGCTTATCCGCATAGACTAGAGATTTCATGTGCCCCCACAAAAAATAATCCAGAAGAGATAGATCGGGAGATCTTGCAGGCCAATTTATTGGACCTCCCCGACCAATCCAGCGCACAGGAAATTTTTCATTTAGATATTTCGTAACAATTCTGCTAAAGTGAGGTGGTGCTCCATCTAGTTGAAACCACATTTGTGTTCTGATGTTTAAAGGCAGATCTTCAAGAAGTTCGGGCAACTGTTCTTGTAATAAATGCAAGTATCGTTCAGCATTTAAATGATCTTCAATAATGATGGGCCCTATTAGACGATTACCGATTATACCGCACCAGATATTCACTGAAAATCGATTTTGAAAATGTGTTTCAGTAATAGCATGAGGATTTTCTTCTCGTGGTGACCAAACGTGTGTGTTTCTATTATTTGTAATGCCGTCTCTCGTAAAAGTAGCTTCGTCGGTAAATAAAATTTTTGTATGTATTTGCCGATTTCTTAAAAGCCAGTGACAAAAATTGACGCGTGCAGGATAATCATTTGGTTGAAGAGCTTGAACATTCATAAAATGAAATGGGTATAAATCATAATCACGCAGTATTTTCCAAATTGTCGTTTTAGAGACGTTAGTTTGCGCCGAAAGTCTTCTGATACTAATAGTAGGAGTTCTGTCCACCGTTGCTAGTATCGCATCCTCGACTTGACGATGTCGCCTTAATGGTCTCTCAAGATTTTTATTTGGGACCTTACCAGTAAATTTAATGCTTCGGTGGACATTGCTAAAAACTCTTCGATCTGGTACTCTGCGATTAGGAAACCGTCGGTGATATTCTGTTACTGCTGCACGTGCGTTACCATTACAGAAACCATAAATAAAATGAATATCGGCATATTCTTCATTGGAAAATGTACTCCATTTTGGTCTACACACACTTCTGCTCTTTGAATTATTGATGTCGTAGAACGCAAAAGAAGTTCCACATCGTTACGTATATTATTACAAGCGTCTGTTATTTTATTTACTGACTGCTGCCGATTGACTGGCTTATCCGCATAGACTAGAGATTTCATGTGCCCCCACAAAAAATAATCCAGAAGAGATAGATCGGGAGATCTTGCATGCCAATTTATTGGACCTCCCCAGCCAATCCAGCGCTCAGGAAATTTTTCATTTAGATATCTCGTAACAATTCTAAGCTATGTTTATGCGATGTTTTCACTTAAAACGACAGTCAATTTATTAATATTATCTTGTGTGGCAAGTGTGAAAAACAATGAATTATGTCGAGTATGAAGTTGCCGCATGAGCTGAAGCGAATGTAATGTGCGCGACGTAGTTCGTTGTCTTCCGCACATGCCATACATACAATATTTTTTGTAATGCCTGTTATTTCCGCACTACTAGTGCGGTAAGGTAAGTCATAAAGGTGCTTTTCTCGCATTAGTGTGAGAAATAACTACTTTTGCATTTTTTCGCTATAACTTCAAAACAAGCGACTTTAGGGCATATGTGTATTAAGACTTTTTGACTTAGAATGACACAAAGAACACACAGTTTCAGTGTGGACATCACGTTGCGGGACACCCCGTATAAATTTTGAGAAAGTATAATCTGCTTTTAATCTTCTCACTTTTGAAGTATTAAAAAAATCAGTATCCTTAAGATGAAATTGGCAAATGCGACTTGATGATGTTGGTGTCCAATTTTTCCTATTAATTGCTGCTATCCATTGTTCCAATAAATTTGGTGTACTCATAGGAAATCTAAATTATTCAACAATAATTAATTTAACATTAAATATATTATAGAA